GGGCACTACACCCTCACCAAGAATTCCCAGTAGTACCCCCTTCCGGGGATGAGGAGCAGGGTGTAAATCATGTCATCATAATCATCGCTTAGAATATAACGTTGGATGACTCATTTCGGTTATTATCCACGTATGTGAGTAATCCTTCGCACCTAAATACTGCTTTTGTGCATCGCATTGACCTTCTCGTCTGAGTTCTTCATTCAGTCCTCATATTCCCAAGGCTTTATTTGAAACGGAATTGTGGCATCCGATAAGAATTTTACTGATCTGACTAACACCAATACTATTTTTTCTAATTCGGTGCTTCTTATTGGTGTAAAACTACAAATTGAAATCTCTTCAAACTCCTTCTTTTTATAAAATTCAGAGGTTAATTTCAGTTGCCTTGAGTACTGGCATAACCTTCCTTCTCCGTGGGAACGGAATAGACTACGTGAACAGCGTTAAAGCTGGGACTACTGTTTTTGCTAGTCCGCTTTCTATTTCTCTCAGTTTTACCTTCTAAAGCTGTTTTTATATACATAGTCCGTAGTCCGCGTTTTATACCTAGTCCGTGTTTTATACTCAGTCCGGAGTCCGCATTTCATACCTAGTCCATATTTTATACCCAGTCCGCAGTCCGTGGTCCGCAGTCCGCAGTCCATGTTTTATACTGACCGGTTTTAAATTTAAGGACCTTTGTACTTGAATGTTTCGGTTGTTTTATTCTGTCAGGGGCACCCTACGACAATTTTCGGAAAAATATCTGTTCGGAAGACGATTTGAGATCTAGAATTTTCGGAACATTTGTTGTAAAATTTCTTGCTTGCCTGCTTCTCCTAGGATTTTCGCATAGGCGTACGGGCCGGGGGGGGCGAGGGGGGCTGCAGCCCCCCCAAAGTTTGGGCAACTCAGACTTTTTGGGCAGCAAGAGCAAATTTGGGCAAAGCCAGTTTTTAAAGACGTTTCCATGTTTTATTATTATTATTATTTTGAAGAGATAAATATTTTCTATTTTAAGCAGAGGTCGGCGTAATAATTCAGTTACGTTCACACGAGACAGTGTTTGCCTAGCACGTGATGAGTTTCTGGTTATAAGGGAAGGGTATCATATGCTGATTTTTTGCTTTGTTGGGCACTATACTTCACTGTACTAGCTGGAGTGGGCTATTTCCAGTCATGAATTGATTAGAATAAACTTCCGCATAACTTTCTAGAATCACCTCCGCTCCTAGAACAGTGTGTGGCAGAACACGCATCAGCAATGGGTCTGAAAGTGAAGTAGCTGACTAATTCTCAGTTTGAATTACGAGAAGAATCATAATTTTCTGAAACAAATCTATCGAGGGGTTTAAAAATTATTCACTAATTTGTTTAAGTAGACCAAAATGTTTACGAAACCCCTAACAAGATCGAGCGCTAATCAAATCCTTCCTTATAGCAATTGGCAGGAGCTATCTCCATGATCTTTCAAACACATTTTTAATAAGATTGAAACTACTGTGAGGTGAAATTGCATGTCAAAAGCCAGGGGCACCCAACGGGAAATTTTGAGAAAAAGACCTAAAAACAACAACAAAGCGTGAATAAAGTTTTCTGAGACTATTTTAAGCATTTTGGGAGATTGCTGGAAAAAAATTATCTGTTCCTCACTCCCAGCAAGACTGATGGAAGAGTTCCCAGCCAGCAACCTTACAACCTGCAACCTGACTTACTGGGAAGTTTCATACGGCACAATTCAGATCTTGAGTGGTAAGCAACCCATACAAGTAACCCGTAGCAGCTATTCTAGACTTCAAATCCCCTCTGACACCCTGAATTATCTTTTTCCCAGCAACACTTTCCTTCCAAGGACTATTATTTCTTCCACATCTCCCAGCCAGCAAAAATTTGCATGAAGAACAGATATTTTGAGGAACAGATCCATTGGGTGCCCCTGAAAAGCGCTCCGTTTTCTTCAGATTACGACTAAACATCAACATTTTCCCTTTTTACCTTATTTCTAACAATAAAAACTTCATCCCAAAATATCTCGATAACGCTCTTACAGTTCCGTTTTAACTTCACGAACATTGAGGCGACTATTGGAGGAAAGAGCTCCCCTGAACGATTTTGTAAGAACAGTTCCCAGTGAGAAATATTGCTGCAAGTATAATAGGTAATGGCGTCATGTCGTTGCTATGACAGCTCCAATGTCATTGCAATCCTGATCATGACAAATTTCCCTCTTTATCTAATACAACTGTGGTGGTAATTTTTTCCAAATGCTCGTTTGTGGCGACGCAGTTTATGCTCAAACTTGGCAGGTATTGACTCTGAAAAACTTTATCGAGCCACTTTCATATGCCAGTACGGCCTATTTTGTTGCATGGCCCTAGTTTCCTTTCGACTGTTTTGTAAAAATTTGGGCAACTTGCAACAATTTTTTGGGCAAATGGATTACCGCCCCCCCTGGCAAAAAATTGCCCGTACGCCTATGGATTTTCGAACATCTAAAATATGGTATAATTGCCTATTTTTAACGGATTTTTACCCTAAAAAGATCACCTAGAATTTTCGGGAGCCTTTTTTCTGGCTGAAATTTTCGAAAAGGTAAGTTTTGATCCCTATAATTTTCGGATCACTAGACTTTCAGCTAGGAAATCCGAACAGATGAAAAATTTTTAGGGGATAAAAATATGCCTATATCTACCGTTTAAATACCAAAATACGTTTACCAATGCTATGTTTTAGTGGTTTTGAACTATATTCTCGTTGGGTGCCCCTGTTCTGTTTGACTGAGGGATCTGATCTGGGAACAGTGTAACCTATCAAGCAGATTAGACTACTTCAGGCATCAAGAAATGAGTTGAAAGAAAACGTTTTACCATCGCTGGCATATTTAAAGCCAATTTCAAGGTGTCTCAGCAGCAGGAGAGGATCTACACCGTCCAGTATCCACCGTTTACAAAAATAGGTCAGATTTTTGATCATAATAAATATATTTTTTAATTTTTAAAAAAAAAAAAAAAGATATTTTTTATGAAAAAAAAACTTTTACGTTGAAATCTGGAAGTGGTTTGGACAATTTTTTTTCAATTTCTGGGCGTTACTTCGCTATGAGAGGGAATAAAACTGGCCATATTTCCTCTCTCAATGACACAGAAACGCATCGAAACGCAGGAAAGGGGATTTAGGGAGTTAAAAAAACAACAACAAATTTCCCGGTGGAGCATGCCGCTTGACCCCACTAGAAGTTTGCGTCCTCGCCTCTTGCCTAGCTCGGGAAATCGGTCAGACTGATGTCCTCCTAAATACGTTTAAAACACTTTTTAGGCTGTGATCCAGAGTACTTTTTTAGGGCTAGAAATGCATTCTCAGCAGTGCTATAAAATTTGTACCTGTTCGGTCATCCTAGGGGAAATGGAGTCTTTTCGAAATTACAAGGGCTTGAGGATTATTTTCCCGGAGAATTTTAGATGCAATTTGACGTATTATGAAAGTGAGACATTTACTGATTCCTCTCTCCGTCGCATTTTTGAATCTGCGAAGTTTAGGTTTCCCTAGCCTTACTTGGAAAGTGAAATGTGAAAATTAATTTCAGAAAATCGTAAGCAATTTATAAGAAAAGCTTCGAAAATTGTACGTGAATGGAACGGTCATATAAAAATTTTTAGCCATCCTCAAGTAAAAGAAAATTCTAGGCAACGCTCTTGCTTCTCCGAACAAATATTTTACAGAAAACAGTCGTTGGGTGCTCCTGAGTAGTACATCTGTCATGATAAGATATCTATATTGATAAGTTTTTCAAGTTTTCTTTTATATTTTCTCATATTCATCAACAACATTTATACAAAAAGAAAGTATTAGAAAAAACGTGGAACTGTGTGTAAACGAAAACCCTTGCCAGTGCTAAAAAGTATTTGCGCACCTTATCTCACGCATAGTTAGCAAGAGATATAATGGCAAATGTGCAATAAAAGACTGGGAAATGTTGTCAGTGACATTATCAAGTGATAACCTGAGACAAGGCCTAAGTCTAGCCGCTTTCATACATTCTCTCTGGTGTCAGTTTTAAGTGGTCTCCCTAAAATTAATTCACCTTGCATTGTCTCCCAGATTTTTATTAACCAAGAGATCAACGAAAATAGCCCACTTCGTTATACCTGTTAGCATTTTTCTTCACAGAGCTTGAGAGAATCGTCAGAATTGAACAAAAGAAAAACTTTTGAAATCAGTTTGCCGACTTGTCGTGAAAACTTTCTGAATTAACCGGGGAACAGGGCGTTGCCACCAGGATCTTCATGAAAATCGGGACTCCGATACCCTGGGTACCTGGTGGCTTTCACGCGGCTGCGCGGGATGCTTCAGTATTAATTAACACTTGACCCAAACTGAAAAGTCTTCTGGCAGGGCTGGGAGACCTAATCGGCAGGTCTGCTTGAAAAGTTTATTTGGTGGAGTTAAAAGAATAAACTAGTGTTCGTGGGCGTTTTCTATTTACCAAAAACTTTCGGAAGTTTCCGGGGAAAGGTCCATCGACTGAAGAACGTGTTCCGTTTGACATAAGTTCCATTCGCCTGTGCTCTCGTCATCAAAATTCAAGACGGTGGCACAGACATCGCAGTGAATAGCCCGGAACTGGTGATAATCCACTTGCACTAAGAGGTCACGTGACCAATGCTTCCTTTAACAATGAGTTGGAATCTTGCTGATGCCTAAAATTGACAGAGCACATAAAAAAAAATTATCTTACAGCCAAATTTGAGGGAAAACACATTTAAGGGAGATATTTTATGGCACTTCGATTTTTCAACAAAGTCCGGAGCTCCTGACAAAGTAGTATGATTTGTATTGGCCGCATACTCTTGCCCTCCAACATGGCGGCCAAAACTACTTGCTTATATCTTGTTAAACGTTTGATAATTACGCTCAGATGTGCTGTAAAAGTTACCACATCATCTTTTCAACATTTCCCTTGAAGTTTAGGTGCAAAATTTGTGTTGAGAAGAGGTAATTCATGATTTTAGAAAGCACGTTTCAGTCACATGACCAGCTACGAACTTACTCATTTTAAGAAAATGGTGCGGGTTTGAAAAACCAAATTACCATTACTATGTTTAAGATATTACCTACTAATCGTTTTTCAAAGGCAAAATCATATAACTTTCATTTCCATAAAAGCGAACACCGTGACGTCTTATTGCAAATGGCCTATGTATTCCGTGCGAATCCGTGCGAAAACTCGCGAATGGAACGTGCTACCTTTTCAAAATTCTACTTACTCCCCGGACGTTTACAGTGGAACGCCTGGCAAACGTGTGTCCCATTATTAACATCCGAACAGGAATATCTCGGGAAATGGAAAGCCCCCCCGTTTCACCCCCCCCCCCCCACCCCGCCCCGCCCCCCACTTTTTCCAGTGAAAACTAGTTCCCAGTCCCTCCTTACAAACAAATGGCAGAGGAACTATGTAATGACTGCGATGCGACGACCACTGCCGGCGTTTGTAGTCGGGTTCTTACTTGGGATCTTTGTCGTCACAGTCTTTACTTATTTAACGGGTGATACACTCTCACGCAAACTATTTGTCTTGGTCAAAAATCCTCCTCCACCAAATGACGATGGGGAGTTAGACATCACGCATAAAATTGTTTATCGCGACAGTAACAAGTTCAAGGTTGAATCACCCGTGGACTTTGATGTAGATCTTAAAGATCATCATCACCATCTCTCGTTGAATAAAGAAGCCCTGAAGGAACAGCAGGAAATAAGGATTCTTTGTTGGGTGTTGACAAGTCCAGACAATCTTCCTATCAAAGGTAAACCTGTCAAGGAAACGTGGGGGAAACGTTGCAATGTTCTTTTGTTTATGAGCTCTAAAACCGATCCCAGTTTCCCGGCGATTGGGCTAAATGTTAGTGAGGGTCGCGATCAGTTATGGCAAAAAACCAGAGCGGCTTTGGATTACGTCTATGAGCACCACATAAACAATGCTGACTGGTTTTTGAAAGCCGACGATGATACGTTCGTTATAATCGAAAATCTCCGCCATCTGGTTTCAAGTCTGGATCCCGAGAAACCCCACTATCTAGGGAGACATTTCAAGGGCGGGTTCAATAGCGGCGGAGCTGGTTACGTGTTCAGCCGAGAAACTTTACGTAGATTCAAGACAGCACTCGGTGATTCCTCTAAATGCGCTAAACAATCTTTGGCAGAGGATGTGGAAGTAGGAAAATGTCTGAATGCAATGGGGGTCAAGCCGGCATATACCAGGGATAAGAGTGGTAGGGAAACCTTCATGCCGCTTCCCCCGGAACATCATCTCATACCTGGGTATCTTAGCAAAGATTTTTGGCTTTGGAGTCTTGACTATAATCCGTATAAAGAGGGACCAGAATGTTGTTCTGATCATGCAGTGGCTTTTCATTATGTTAGCCCCAACATGATGTACGTGTTGGAGTATTTAATTTACCATCTTAGACCTTATGGAATGATTCATGATGATCACAGTTAGGATCGAATGTCAAGGGAAATCTGATAAAGAGAACAATTCTGAGGAGAATTCAGTGACAAGGTAGTCAATGTTTTGGGTGAGAATATAGCAAAATTGTAGAATGCCTTTTGGATAGGACACTGTCAGGAATCCTAACCCAGAGTTGCAAACACCAGATCAATACCTCAAATCAGCACCAATATGTTCCTGAAAATAAGTAATGTTATAACTTAGACACAGCTCTATACTTCACCACTATGACTGGACCTCTCTTTATAAACTTCTGCAAGGCCTTTGACAGCATGAACCATTCTTGGCTGTTAGATAAGCTATTGTTGGTTTTCACATGATGTCACTAAAATTCAAACTAAAAAACTATCGTTCATACCAGAATTTTACTTTCACAATGCATTAGAGCAGCTGAAAACTAATTTTCATACAAATTTTCGCTACGCTTGAATTTCTAAGCTTTTGCGTAACATGACGGCCAAGAGAGCTGTCATGTAGGTTAAAAAAGTGACTTATTTCAGGAAATTTTGCCATTTAAATAGTTCATGTATTAGAAAAAGTATTACTTTAATGTTAATGAGTTTCCCGAAGAATAAATTCACGCTTTTGTAGCAAAACTCGGTAACAGATGTTTCTGTTGGTTTCCATCCACCATGTTGGAGCTCATCCAGGTGTGCACCAGCATGGCATCTCCATACAAATCTCTATAAGTTTGGGTAAAACATTTCTTCAGATATCTCGTATACAAAATATTCCTCTGACCTGAATCTTGGGGAGGGTCTTTGTATATGTACCTCCTTTCATTTCCCAGATTCCAGACTTTACCTATTGAATGGTTTTGATTTTTATTTTGATCTATTTTGAATGGCGTGACACTGAAAACCAGCAATATACCCTGGGCATGGTAGATCAAGAACACAAGTGGTGTCCTGACTATCTTACAGGTAAAACTTAGCAGTTGCAAGGAACTTTCTCAGATATAGATTCTATCTCTGTAGGTTTGCCCCAAGAGTCCATCATTGGGCCTCTTCTATTTTTGCTTCAAGTGAAGGATTTACCCACCATACAGCTCAGAAGTGCAATATATTAATGTATGCAGATGACACTGCCTAATTATAGAACTGTTCTGGAAAGGTTGCTGCCGCAATTTTGAGGAAAATGTCAATGAAGATCTTGATGTTACATGAATCGTTGCTTTATAATAACAGCCTAAAATATATAAAATATGTGGTTAAAACTGAGGCTATGTTGTTGGAACTCATGCTACTGCTCTCTGATCAAAGCAGGTATACAAATTCAAACATTTAGGAGTTTTATTTGATGAACATGTTTCTTGGAATTCCCATGTTAAATATATGTTATCCTGAGCCTGTAAGAGACCAGGAATGCTGAGACGCCTCTTAGGAAATCAACTGTCTCACTGCCCTAATACCATCTATATGTGGCTAAATGTAATTAAGCTAAGTTAAACACAAAGCCATGCTGGCCAGTTTTCCCTCAAGCACTGTTGTGTGGGGTGGCCTGGGGTAGCGTGCAGGGGCTCACTTGTTTACAGCTCGGCTTTCGATTTCAAGTCATTCAGCATTTGTTTCTCACTACTTCACTTACTGATTTTACCCTAGCCCATCCCTTCCCATCTCTCTTGACATGGTAAGTACGTGGTGAGTATTTAAGCTTCCACTGATTTTCAGCTTGACTGTGCCTGGTGGTTGACGGTGGTTGCCGCTCACAGCATTGTCATAAGCCTACGCATTTGGTTCTGCTTGTCTCATGGCTCCACTTTTTTCAGGCACCATTCCCCAGGCTCATCTATTGTTCATGGATTAAAAAAAGCTTGAATATGCATCTTATCAGATTATTGTGATAATGTGTGAAATTGCTGTGGCGAAATAAGTAACACATCGTCGGCTGAAGAGGCTCAAAGTTGTGCTGCAAAAATGTTTTCCAAAAAGGGCAAGAATGACAGCGTTTTCGAACATCTGAAGTGGCCATTTCTGGTGAAAAGATGCAACCTTGTCCCAGGGCGCTTTTTCCTGGCTTTGGTGGTTTCCAAAGCCAGGGAAAATTGCCCTGGAAAGAGGTTGGAAAAGATTGAAAGCCTCCTTTAAATGAATTTGTTAAAAGATGCACAAAAGGACATTAACCACAATTCATCAAACATGATTATTTTACTTTTAACCATTATGGTATGTTTTAACACAATTGTATTACTCGGGCTAATGAACAGGTTGCATTAAACTGACATGCTAAAAGCTCATTTTATTACAATGGCTGTATTTTTTTAATAGGCCAAACAATGATTTACGCATACTCAACGAACACCAGACAGTTCTCAATTTATTTCCAAGGTCTAAAGTTTTATAATTCGCTAAATTCTACTATTACTGGTTCGTCCTCCTCTGCTTCTTTTAAAAGAAAGCTTAAAGAATTCCTTCTTAGAACATATTAGCTTCAGTATGGCACTAAGTAGATTATTAGATTAATCAATTTAACATGTGTGTGCGTGTGTGGGTGTGTATGTGTGTATGTGAGTTCGCGGTCAAAGTTAGCCATCATAAGCCCATATTGTAATTATATTATCAAGACTAGTTTATCCTAAGTTGAGGAAACCTGACTCATTATAAGCCTCGTGGTTTCTTTCAGGTCTCCTCGCCATTTACTTTTTCTTTAATCTCATTATTCCAACCTCGCATTGTAAAATTTTGTATATATGGCAAATAAAGAATGAATGAATGAATGAATTATTTACATCTTTGTATAATATTATATTTAACTGATATTTCATCCTTTATTTCTTATAACCTACTTTGTTTTTTACTTCCATATTCTTTTTAACAGTATGGTTAACAATAGTTTACATGTATATTTTAATTTTTTTGGTGTTTTCTATTGTTGTCTATTGTATAGACTTAGTTAACTAATTTTAATTTTTATCAGGGCCCCAATTACTAGTCAGCCTCAAAGTATTGTATCCAACATGATTGTCAACACATAGAAAAATGATGAAGAAATTATATCCAGAGCAAAAGTTATGATAATTATGCAGCCATTACTTGAATGTCAGGGTGAGGAGTTTTAGATAATCTTGATTGATATTTACGTCTATTTACAGTGGTGTTTGTAGGGTCCTTTGTTCCGTGTTCCACAGTTCCAAACCATTTCCAGTTCCTATGAGTTGAGGTATGGAATGGGGGGAGGGGAAGCTGGGGTTAGAATTGTTCCCACTAAATGGTCTCAGGAGCAAGAGGGAATGAGTATGGTTCCATATGCTTGTATTGTCTTAATGAGTTTAAAAAACCAAAGTGTAACAATTTAATATACTTTTCACCATTAACTTGTCCCAAGACCTTGTTTTTAAAACCGGTGCTGATGAAAGTCTTTCATAATGGACATACAGTAAATGTTTTCAAACATCTTACAGTTTCTGTGCACCGCCTGTGGTGTATTGCTCATATTTCAGCATTGAGAAGACTTAGTTCTTGCAAGACTTCCTAGTCCTTTACCACTTCCATGTTATTATCTGGGGACTGGGTCAAATTGTGTTTATTAGCGGGGGAAGGGGAGGTGATTGGGGCTACCGGGTAACTGACGGGTGTTGCTACAAAAGAGACAGTCTCCAGAATTAGAGGGGGAGGAGGGAAGACAGCCCTCTCTCCTTACCCCCACACCCTCAATGGTTTTTCTTGTTCAACTTTCTTCGCACTATTCCCAGTTAATAGTTAGATTAAGCACCGCGCTAACGGTGAACGTGGAACGTCAGCTAACCGTTTCTTTGCCGTTCCGCCCGCTGTGAAAATTAACTTAGCCTGTTCCAGGCGTTCAGATAGTGGGGAGGGGTGCGAAGTAAAGAAAGCGATGAAAAGTAGAGGGGGACTAGGGAGAGCCTCTCTCACCCCTCCCCCTTCCTCGTTTTTATTTTTCGCGCTCCTTTTTACTTCGCACTGCTCCCCACTATGTGAACGCCTGGAACTGGCTAAAATTAACTAGGTATTGCCTAATGTTTTCATATTCCTTAATCTTTCTTTTAAACAAAGTGAAATAAGCTTACGAATGATACACGGCAAGTGTTCTCGGTCGCCATTCACTGTGGCTGGGCAAAATATACACAGGGGCACCCAAAGAGAATATAGTTCAAAACCACTAAAACATAGCATTGTTGAACGTATTTTAGTATTTAAACGGTAGATATAGGCATATTTTTATCACCTAAAACTTTTTTATCTGTTCGGATTTCCTAGCTGAAAGTCTAGTGATTCGGAAAATTATAGGGATCAAAACTTACCTTTTCGAAAATTTCAGCCAGAAAAAAGGCTCCCGAAAATTCTCGGTGACCTTTTTAGGGTCAAAATCCGTTAAAAAAAGGGCAATTATACCATTTTTAGATGTTCGAAAATCTTAGGAGAGGCAGGCAAGCAAGAAATTTTACAACAAATGTTCAGAAAATTCTAGATCTCAAATCGTCTTCCGAACAGATATTTTCCGAAAATTGACGTTGGGTGCCCCTGTATACAGAGAAGTTGTCATATTTTTTCGCTTGAATTTGGAACTCTTTTAACTTTACAAGCAGCACACGTAGCAGAAGGATGATAAACGAAGCATTGCTATAAAATCAAGCGATCTAAATGAAGAAATAGTCGTACAAATGGGCTGCAAATACCCACCTTTTCCCTTTTCCACTAAACGGAAAAAATGTCCTCCTCGCGTTTAAACGGCGCCAGGGGAAAAGTCAGATCACGTGACCCTCTCTACCGTTCGCGGGAAAAACTACGCTGTGCAAAAAAGGTAGGCCTTTGTACACTATGTTATCACTTTACGGAGGCGAAAACGTTTGGAGCATTTTAGTGGCATTTTTCAGGAAAATTAGGTTTTCTCTCACAGGAAAAAGAAATTTAAATATTTTTGAAGAGATATGACGACTTTAAAAATTATTCAAAAAAGTATACTCAACGTTTCACCTTCATACAGCTATAGAACAACGTATTATTCCCTATGGCTTTCAGAAAAAAACACTCAACCAATATAGCAACTATTGAGCTAATGACAAAAATATCACAAGGAATAGATAATAATGAACATACATTGGGTGTATTTTTAGACTTTGCTAAGGCATTTGATACCGTGAATCATGAAATATTACTGAGGTCTACTGAGGAAACTTGATCATCATGGAATTTGGGGGGAATTGCAAATGAATGGTTTAAAGACTATTTAACAAACAGGAAAGAAAAATAGTTCAATACTAGTCAATCAGTTCGGAAAGTTTGACAATCAAATGTGGAGAAGCCCTGGGATCTGCCCTTCGGCCTCTCTTGGTCTCCCTCTCATTCGTATAAAAAAGAAATTCTTGATATACGAATGATATTTCTAGGAGCTCGAAGATTATATAATCTATTCTCTTTGCTGATGATACTAATTTATGTTACAGCCACAAAGCCTTGTGCTGATATTTTGTGCAATACCATGAATCGAGAACTTCAAAAGGTTACGTCTTGGTTCACTTCAAATAAACTTTCTTTAAATCTTAAGGAAACATACTTTATGATTTTGAAAACTAAAAGAAAGAAGTTCAAAGAAATGAATGCAATTAAAATTAATGGTCAAATAATTGATCAAGTTGAATGCACTACATTTCGGGTCTAAATGTGGATGATGAACTCTCTTGGAAAGATCATGTTGATCAAGTTGCAACAAAAATATCGAAAATGACAGTAATTATGGTAAAGGCGAGACATTATAATTATCTATCTCTCCAAACGTTATTAAAGACAATCTATAATACAGTAAAACCCCGCGATTAAGAACCTGGATTTTTGCAAGTTAGCCTAAATAGGTTCTTATACAAATGGTAGTTGGCACACGTTTAGGCCATGTAGGTTCTTAAATAGGTTCTTAGTTTCCAAACAAAAAAAAAATACAACATAGCTAAGAGTATTTGGTTGACATATCTTATATTTGCGTAAGTGTGTAGAAATTTTTCATAGATTTTAGAAAATGAGAACCTGTTTCAAATTTAGGCTAAACAGGTTCTTACACA